CTCAGCGTGTACACAGGGTTCCACAATCCCACAGTTCTCTCAGCGTGTACACAGGGTTCCATGGTCCTGCAGTCCTCTCAGCGTGTACACAGGGTTCCACAATCCCGCAGTCCACACAACGTGTACACAAGGTTCCATAGTCCCAGCAGCCGCATGCTGGGCCCTCCTCGACTCTGCCCTACGCGTCTCCCCTTGGCTGATTCTCCTGTATCCCTCCCTGTTAAACTCTGGCCACGAGGACGGCAGCTTTCTGTGAGTCCTAGGGTGGTATTTGAAAGCCTTGAACTTGGGGCTGCCAGGAGCAAAGACTGTTCCCACTGAACTCGTAGGTGGGGAGAAACCTTTCATACTTGTGTGGAGATGCATTTTCACCTGGGAAGCAGACACTGACTAGACCACATCAGAGTCTGCACCACGGAGTTTTATGGGATGGTAGGAAACCTGGGCTATTTATACAGTGATTTTGGTGTGCTTACTCTCCAGCACCGTTGCCTAACAATATCGATAGCTTGCTGTAGAACCACCATACGAACACTGCTTTGGATTTTAACTCTTAGACACAAGAGTACTGTGAACACTGACCTTTTGAGGAAACAACCAAGGTAGAAGACTGGTTTCTGCACTGAACAGAGAATTAGAGAAAATGAAAATAAGCAGTATGGGTCTCTCCAATAAAGAGAGGCTCCCATAGTCTTCCTGTTCCTGGCTTCGCGACCTTTACTTCCACGCCGGGATCTCCCCCACCCACACACACACCCTGTCCTGCTTCCGGTGACACTGTCTCATGTCCCCTTGTGCTCTAGCTTCCATCCTTTGGTAGTGCCCCCACCACTACCACCCTCCCAAGGTCACGAGTCACAGACTGACGGTACAGTAGAAAGCCAGGGACGGGCTGTTCATCCTCGGAAAGAGCACGCCGGGTTCAGGGCTGGACCCGTGCACAGCGCATCCACGAGCGACAGGGAGCGAGCAGGACTGAACGGGGTGAGCCTGCCGCCTTGCGTACAGTGAATGGGTGGCCACGGGCGCCAGCTCCGGGGAAGAGAAGAAAGATGGGTGTCTCTGGGTCACCGACAGCTTAGAGGAGTTAAGGAGTTAGGTGACCCGCACAGAGCCACCGTGGTGGGAAGCTTTGGCAGATGTGCCCAGAGGCACCTGGCCCTCCTCCTGCCATCTGCCCGGGAGGGGGAGTCATCAGACGGGCCAGAGCAGAAAGTGAACGGTGGGCAGGG